TTTTTTTTTTTTTGTCTTCCCTATTACAGAATTCTGAGGTTGTTGAACTTGAAATACCTGTTACAATTGATTCCTTCCCCAACTGGTAGATGGTCTGCATTATACACCACTGAGTCACAGCAACACTGTACTCCTCTAGGTCTTCTGACTGTTGTGGTATCGTCCAGATTTTCTGACAAGTTCATGTTTGGTAAGTCCAGCCAGCCTTGGAGATGTGAGATTCATTCAGATGACCACAAATCAATTCTTGCACACTCGTCTTCATTTCCTGTTGGGTTACTGAGCTCTTTTCTCTCCAGTGGTAGTGTCCACAATGAAAAAAGCTGACAAAAATTTCAGCAAGCAGATGCAGCTCCCTGGCACTTCTTTAGATTGAGTGTATTCAGAGAAGATCAGTCTCCAGATTATTTCAAGGTCTTCCCCTGTGATTTGGGTTACGTTGCTGAGTGACCAGCCACGTTCCTAGCAGCAATTGGTGAAGTCAGAAAAAGTTAAGCTAGACATAAATGGTAGGTGAATTCCAGTAAACACTGGAAGGTAATTCAAGGAAGACCATGGACATGGTAGGAGAATGTGATAGAAAAAAATTTCTCTTTTTTGACTGTCAACAATCTGACATCCACGTATGTGATTATGATAAAACTATGCTTAATATCAACGGCTTGGAGTAGTGAACAGAGGGACTAAGATGATAACAGAATTATGTAAGGATCCAACTTTGGCTTCACTACCTTCTGAAATTCTCCCCATCTCTGACCTCAACTAAAGAAATGGTGAACCCAACTGGATTCTGAATGTCCTAAAAAGATTTCCTTTTCCCTTTAGTACTTCCTAAATGTCTTAAAAACTACTTTCCTGATAATCACATACAGTTGAATAAAAGGAAGCGAAATGAATTTGGAAGTGTCTCAGATGTGAATCTTTTATTTTTCTCTTTAACATGTATAAAAACTAATTATAATCTTGTGGCATAAGAGCACCGAAAATTAGTACATATCATAGTGGGCTTTACAAGAAACAAGAAACACCTTATTTCTTAGTCTTTTGATGGGCCTTGGAATGGAGTACTTCAAAAGATCTTTTCTTTAGAAAAGTAATTAGGATAGAAGTCTATTACACATAATAAACCCATCTTAGCTAAGTCAGACTTTAAAAGATTTTTTGGACATTCACAGTGAACTGCTGAAACAACTTATTACACACACACCTTTCCATGGAAGAAACATCCCATACAAATTTTCAAAAACTAAAACTAGTAACGTAAAATATATTAATATGTCCACCAGTTCCGGGGATTTTTCCAGGAATAGATATCCCTGCAGTATACAGTTTCATGTGCTGAAGATACATTTAAGAAACCAAATTCTCTGCTTTGGAAAACCTCAGCATATAATTCCGTGAACAAAAACTGATAGGATGTATTAGGTAAGTGCCTTCTAAAGTTTTAACCAGAAAAATGTATTATATGATGTTATCGTCACTGAAAGGATTTCTTGGAATTAGTGAAGAGTTGAGCTGCAGGGGAGCTCTTCCTTGAATAAAAAAATGACTGTAGTGGACCCTAAGAGAATAACATGCTTTTAAACACCCTAATTACATAGAGATTGAAATAAGGAGTAAGTCACCTAAAGGGACTGTCTTCAAAGTCCAGACTTCATAGGAGATTTCTCAATAGATGGTCTGGATCCATACGGCTGGGGTTAGGGAAGTAGGCTCCCCAAACTTATTTCATGCCACCTTCAAACCTGCCGTACACATTCATGGCTTTATACTGAGGGGATTTCACATGAGATCTGTCTGGGGCACTAAGTTCTAGATCCAAGACAAAACAAACGTTTCGAGAAGCCAAAGATCAAACACAATTTTGTTGTTTGTATTCCAGGGCCTGGCACATTTTAGTAGCAAGCAGTATTTTGCTTGGAATCAAAATATACCACCTGAAAATGTCTCTCTGAAAGCAGTCAATGATTTGTAAATGATACATTTTATGAAAAATCCAATTTTTCAATATTTTACAAGTTGATGTTTATGTAGTAATTTATATAAACCCTGTGTCTGCCGTGAAAATTTCCTAAGATTTTTTATTTTTTTTAGGTGAACTCTACCCCCAAAGTGGGGCTAAAACTCAGGCCCTGAGATCAAGAGCCATATGCTCTACTGAGCCAGCCAAGTGCCCCGAAAACTGTGTAAGATATATAAAGTTGCTTTTATGAAAAATAGTTACAATACAAAATTAAGGATTAAACTTAAGTTTAATTACAATTTTTTTTCCAAGGAAACATACTAACTCACTGGATCCAACTTCTCATCTTTAAGACCTAGATGAGGCAGGACAAAAATTCTGCTTGTTTATTGAGAAAGAGACACACAGTAAACTAACAATGGAACTAACTCAAAATAAGGGAATTCTTTCTGAAGGCTGCTGAATGCCTGAAGTGAAATGTTCTAGGTCAGATGAGATTTCAATCTAATTTTAGTTCTAGAAACTGCAACTCGTGATGATCCTATTATCCCAGCTAGCTTTAGGCAAAAATTGGTTTCATTTTATGAAAAAAAGCAAATACCTTAATAGATGTTAGGCATAACAAGTCCTAAGTTTAGAGATGTTACACTGGTAGGACCGTTTCACAGTGATACCAGCTAGCTACCTAGCGCATTAAGAGTTGGGCACTCTGATTAGCTATATCATGATTAAAACACTCAAAAGGGACAATTAGGTCCCAACTGAGATGCAGAGGCAAGCATCAGTGTTTGTTATCCTGAGCAGAAATTTCATCACCTAAGAACCCCCGTTACGCTAAGCTTTCAGCTGTGAATCCTCCCCCAATACAGAAATGTTGAAGAAAAGAATCTCAACTTCATTCCTAACAGATGAGCTGCTGGGATGAGGATGACACCAGTGAATTCTCCTTCTTGAAAAGTAACCTCAGATCGGAATCTGTTTTTAAATTACCAAATTGTTCAGATACAATACTAAAAATATAGCCCAAAGAAGGCTAGGTTCAGACTAGAGCAGTCATTCAGAAATGAAATAATTAGAAACCACAAAAACCAAACCTTACCTGCCCACCCCTTCCAGAAAGTAAGCAGGTATCAGGAGGTAAGCCCCAGAAAAGGAACAACGGGGGTAAAGAAAAGCAAACAAAAACCATGAAACTCGGGAGTCGAACTGTATGGCAACAGTGACAAGAATGTGCCCCAACAGTTCTACTCCTTAGTAGCACCAAGAGTGCCAGAGACAGAAAGGAAAGAGACTAGCAGTTCAGTGGCATTTGCCCCAATTTTTTCCAATTTGCAAGGCCTAACTGCAGAGTTCAATTCCACAATGAATTCCCAGACCCTGAGTATTTGCAAGGTTCCATAAAAGAAAGCCCAAAACAAAACAAGCATTTTAAAATTAAGAACCTAGGTAGTTAAATAGCAACCAAAAGAGAGATCTGGTTCTTGAGTAGGAAAGATGTGTCGAGCTTTTCAGTTATTTGAGCATTTAAGAACGTAAATGAGATGCTCCGCAACCGAGAAGATGGACACTTTGGGGGCAATGCCAGACGCACCACCTCTGGAAATCGGACCATGTTCACCATTTTTCATTTTAAATGCTACAGCATTAACATGCAGAAAAATTCTTAACACTGTTAGTCTGAAAGTCAAAATACCATGGCTAACCAGATTCATTATTAAAAATCAACAAGTGTTAGGTCTAGGATTTTGGATTGATTGAGTATACCATATTCCCAACACCAAATGTTTATTTTGGAAAGGGTTAATGAATGAGTAAAAAAGATGCAGTTGTTAAAAATGACCCAAAATCCCAAGAGAAATGATATAATATATACACACATATATGTATATACAAATACATATACATATATATATGAACAAGGACATTTGGGTTTAAAGTTAGTAGTCAAATTTTCCAAGGACGTCTCTTTGTAAAAACACAGAGCCAAATTTTTACTTCTTTCAAAACCACTTCCTCGATCTAACACTGTTAGAAATGAAGGAATTACCCAATTTTGTGTTCAATTTGTTCCCTGTCACGTCACTTGGTTCTTGGCTACTAACCTTTCATGTTACTCTTGGTTTTGTCAGTTTGCTTGCCTGTGGGGGTTTGGGCCTGCTGACCCTGCCCACTTGAAGAGGCTGCCTGCTGTGCTGCTTTCTGCTTTAACATTGTCCAATCAAATGTGTAGTCATACTGGTGGTTCAGAGTCCTGGAAAACAGAAAATGATGTGTTAATCCTTTAATAATAGAGTCTGGCTAAACACTCTACTGAACCTGCAGAACAGGGAGGGCACTTTTTAGAAAAATGGTAGTATTTTCTCTAATTATGGTAGCTCCTAAAAGAATTCTTTCCATATACATGACTTTTTAACTCTTCAGTTTCACTTTTTACAAGTCACAACTGAAGGAAAATGATGTCACCACACTTCAGTCTGATGTATTCAATAAGAATAAATCTTCTCCTTCTTCAAAAAGAAGCTGACTTTTAAACTTTCTTGAAAGAGGCAGGGGAGTGGTAATGAACAGCACTCAAGATGTCAATTATCTAGGGAAACATCCAAATAGGAAGCACCTTCTAAGAACAAATCAGAGTAGGTATGAGAATGTAAGCTTGGTGGGTGGGTGGATGGGTGTGTGTGTGGGTGTGTGTGTGTGTGTGTGTGTGTGTAGATGTGTATGCTGGTGGCCTGGAAAGTAGACTTTCCTGGACTTAGAGAATTACCCAATTCGTCTTCTCTTCCAACTAAGATTTCCAGCCACATGCACTCTATCTCCCTCCCCCATCCGCTCAAGACCATTTCTGGGTTGCACCAGGGAACCTTAGAGTATGAGGCCTGCTCCCACACCATCATACACCCCATAACTATCTCGTATGTAAATTGCTGTTAATTTTGATATTAAATAGGGTTCCATAGCAAAGTTAGTGTTCCAAGGACCACCAACAGTCACTTGAATTGCAACATGAGTTGCCATTATCATGGAAAGGTTAGATTCTTTGAGTTTGAGTAACTGTTTCTCCATCCCAAGCTAAAATAATTTCAAGCACGTTTGCATCACAAGGGAAACATGCCAAACGAACTCAAATTTCTTAATATTTTATTCATATTGGTTAGAGTCACTTTATTTCGCTCGCTACTTGTCAGAACAGATGTCTTGGGTGGATTTGACTAATTTCCTTCCCTGGAGTCTCTAGTCTTAAAAACACCTTAAAAACTGACCTGAAAAGAATGCGGAATAGCTGCCTCAGATACATGTAATCCGGGGCTTCCTCAAAGCGCAGCCCACGACAATAGTTTAAGTACATGGCAAATTCTGCAGGAAACCCCTACAAGTTCAAGAGTTAAAACACAAAGTAAAAAAACAAAACAACTTATTTAAGACAGAAAAATAAATGCATTTAAAAATGCAAGTAAAACTTGTTTTTGAGGACAGTGTTTTACTACTACTTTGCCATAAGATCTGAGAACGCAACTAATATGACTTGGTATCCTCATAAATTTAATAAGATTTCATTGTTCTGACCACTTCATCATGTACAGAGAAAATATGGTTCCTTTCCCTACAGTATTATGTCCTTAAATAACTTGGAGAACCCACTTGTTAATTTATTACTTTATCAATGTCTAACAACTCAATGGAAAACAATGAACAAATGACAAAATCGAGGCCGGTAATGTTATTTGCCACAAAGGCACAGTGAACAGGCACTTTCTCTCAGACTCTGAAATTACTTTCTTTTTTGTAGTAGAATATACTTACATAAACAGAAAAGTAAAAATCACCAAGAGTGCAATCATACAAAACAACCACTACTGTGATACGGATCAATCCGATGCTTTGTCCTACGAAGACTGGGATTGCCTTTTCTTTTTTCCACAACTGTTATTTTATTTACATAATTTACATATTACTGTTTTGCCACCAACATTATATTCCAAGCATCTTTCTGTGTCATTTTCCAACCTCTTCATAAGCTTCTGAATGGCTGTACAACATCCAAACGAGTGAATACATCATACTTAACTAGTTCCTTGTAACTGGCCATTTAGGCAATTAAAATCTTTCTCTTTTCTAAACAATACTAGTAAGAACACCTGTGGGCATAAACTTTTTCCATTTTCAGTTTCTTAGGAAAGATTCTCAAAAATGTATATAAACATCTCTAAGCCTGTATTTGTTGTTGTTGTTGTTGTTGTTTACTGATTTTTGAGAGGGAGGGAGGGAGGGAGGGCAGAGAGGGGGGGGGAGGGAGATGCAATCAGAAACAGCTCCAGGCTGTGAGCTATCTGCACAGAGCCCAATGTGGGTCTTGAAGCCACGAACCATGAGATTGTGACCTGGGCTGTAGTCTGATGCTTAACCGACAGAGCCACCCAGGCGTCCCTGAGCCTATAGATATTAATCACCAAAAAGATTTTGCCATCACCAATGTAGAAATGCAAAATATTAAAACAAAAATCCCTGCATCCTTCCCCTCAAATATATGTGAAGAGCTTTACATTAAAAGAGACAGTCTCTTCCCACAACCTTCCAATTTTGAGAAATTTCTCGTATCCAGAAAACTAAGGTAGGATAAAATGGATATACTTGTAACATTCATCTTTATTGACTGCATTTATGTAAACAGCTTTCATTCTTATATTATTTCACTGTTCGAGAATGGACAGCTGAAACTAATCAGTATATTATACATTTTATTTAAATTCTTAACAAGACATTAAACAGCACATACCACATGAACCTGCATTTATGTATTCCAAATAGAGCTAAACAACCAGAAGTAAAAGTCAAATAGTATACTTCATGCATTGCTGACAGGCAAAACCTTCACAAAAGAAAACTACCAATGCTGTAACTAATACAGATATGAAGTAGTCACCACTGTAACGAGACTGAAAACAATCTCACTACTTTTTAATAACACTAATAGTCTGTGTTCACTGCACCCTGACAATTATATGTGGCTAATCCAGAAAGTGAGACCTAGTTCACAATTTCTAGATCAAAATTATACGTAACCCAGAAGCAGATGATGTGCTAACACTCCCTTTCTCTTCCTGAAAAATGGCTGACTTTCCCAGTAAGCCAAATGAATCACTCTGTTGCACAGAAATAGTAGCGTACAGAAAATATGTTTTGCTTCCTGAAGTATACAGATTTTAAAGTTGGGAGGGGGGAGGGGAGAGTGCGCCTGGGTGACTCAGTAGATTAAGCATCCATCTGACTCTTGATCTCGGCTTAGGTCATGATCTCATGGTTCGTGAGATCGAGCCCTGCATCAGGCTCTGCCCTGACAGCACGGAGCCTGCTTGGGATTCTTTGTCTCCCTCTCAAAAACAAACTTAAAACAAAAAAAAGTTATCTGGGGGCACCATTAAGACAAGAACATTTTATGCATGGACCTACAATGTATTTATTAATTTAAAACAAATCCCGAATCTCAGAAAAGAACATAGTCTCTTACCCACCCCAATCCCTCCTTTAACTGTAGATCTGGAGAAGGAAAAAGGAAATTTGCGGATAGGGAGACATAAAAACACCACTTTCCCCCTTCCACAAAGTACTATTTCAACTCCATGTTGACTTCCCAACACCCAACTATATAATTATATACGGTCTTCTAATTATGTCGGTTATGCCACTGTTGTCTCAAAGATGACCAGGTGGTTTTCTATGTAAGAGACCAAGGTTATCCAACATGAAACCGACAGCTCTCCATTCTCAACTCCTAGGCTTCTCTACAAAGCTTGAGATTTAAGAGAAATGAGCCTGATTCCAACTGTCGCCTATATTGTGCACCATTGGCTATTTTTGGAATACTGTGATATGCCTTTGTCTCCCTACTCCTTGATATGCCTGCCAACTGCCGATATCCATTATTTTCTGGCACCAGTTTAGGGATGAGAATATTTATTTTCTCATGAACTAGTGAGATTCCACTAGACAACTTTACATGCCCTTTTTCCCCCCTCTAGTTTTTAACAGATTACAGAACCCAAACAAATGAGAAACATAAAATACTTATTTGAAATGATTCTTAAAGGGATGCCTGGATGGCTTAGCTAGTTAAGCTTGGGTATCAGCTTGGGTTGTGATCTTGAGGTTGCGGGATGGAGTCCCGCATAGGGCTCTGTACTTCGTGTGGAGCTTGCGTGGGATTCTCCCTCTTCCAATCTCTCAAAATAAGTAGACATTTTTAAAAAATAAAATGGCTCATATATTCAAGCTACTCTTAAAGATACTTAGAATCATCAAAAAGTAAATTAAAAATGGTAGTAGCTAGCTACCTCATAGGATGTTTAAGTTCCAGGACAGGCAAATAAAATGCTCCCTCTTCTTGGATTATTTATTATTTAAAAAAAAAAAAAAAAAAGGCCTCAAGCACACTTGCCTTACATAAAACTTCAACAGGAGTGGACATCTTCTTTTCACTTATCTTTTCATATTTTTGCTTTTTTGTCGCAGCCTGTGGAAAAAGGAATCAAACCACAAAGACATAGTCAATACTATCGAGAAGAACCATGTTAGTTTAACCCACTAGACATAAATGTCAACATGAGATTCAAGAGAAATGATACCTTAGAATTAAAACCAAATCAAAGTAAATAAAACACACCCAACCCCCACCCAAACTGATAGCTCTTTACCGGTGTTTCTACCTCAAGAACATTTTTAGCTATTAGGAAAGGGTAAGTCTAACAGGAACATGATTTAAGTAAAAATGGGTGAAATCAAATCTGAAATGTGTTTTCATAATCAATACTCAACACAAGGGCAAAAGTAAAGGCAGCTCAATACCAACAAAAGTGCTCATCGTTTAGTAACATTAGTAAGTTACGTTACATCAATACTTTTCCAGTGTAAAAATTACTCATTTTTGATAGGGCTATCCACACAAGCACTGAGCAATTTATCTAATTCACAGATGCTAAATAAACACAGGGACCATTTTCCTTTAAAGGAACAATAAAGTATCAGAATAGCCATTAAATTCTAGGACACAGTGATTTTATCATTAACAGACACTCACAAAAATCAAGGTGAAACTCCTAATTAATAGGAGCAAATGTTAGGATAATTAAATAATATAGCTAGTAGTACTACTAGACGAACCAGTTTTACTACACATAAAAGTCTTCCTTTTCAACACACTGGCAACACATCAAAATCAGAAAGCCTCCACCTTTAATTAGCCCACGTCAATTTCCATTCAGATAAAGCTACTGGTTACCAGTGGGTATCTGCTTACTGTCCCAAAGGAAATTGTTCTTCAGGCCTGACAATGGGATTCTATTAATTCTTGCTGAAGCGATCAGATTTTATTTTCCCAATAAAAGGTTAAAATAAAGTTAATTCACTCTCAGAAAGCTTTAGGTTTCAAAGGGACCTTAAAGTTCATCTCCAATGTGTATTTTTATTCTTAAAACAAAACAAAAAGACTGGTAATGGAAGTCTGGTTTACCTTTAGTCCTTGCCAGGGCAGGCTGGTTCTATTAAAATACATCAAAACATATCCTAATGATTCCATGTCATCTCGGCGACTAGAAAAGAAAATGTAAATTTACGAGCTGGAATTATTATGGAAAGCATCTGGAAAAAAAAAGCCAGGTACACAAGTAGTTTTCCCAAGCGAAGAGAAAGAGCAATTTGGTGGCTTGTGAAAGAAGGTACTTAAAGTAATAAGAAAGTTCGTAACGAGTTACTTCTAAACCAAATTTTCTCACAGAATACAAAATTATAAAATCCAACAAAGTCCTGCAATTTAATTTCTAAAGAGCAAAATGGATTTAGCGAGACAACTTTCTAAATGAGGTTAATGAAGAAGATAGAACAAAGTACAAAGTAGCAGGACACTTTTAAGTTTTGCAGAAGCTCCTAAAAACTAACTTGAGGGATGCTGAAATAAATTAGCATTTCATTTTTTTTAAGTTTGTTTATTTTTGAGACAGAGAGAGAGAGAGAGAAAGAGAGAGAGAGAGAGAGAGAGAACACAGCAGAGTAGGGGCAAAGAGAGAGGGAATCCCAAACAGGTTCCTTGCACACCAACAGCGTGGTGATGGGGCTCAAACTTATGAACCATGAGATCATGACCGGGGCCAAAATCAAGAGTCAGATGCTTAAGTGACTGAGCCACCCAAACTCCCCAATTAACATTTTAAAGCCAATTAATGATGCATGTGAATATATATACACGTACACACTGAACATTTCCTAAGCTTAAGATCCTTCTCTTGAGGTTCCCGAACCTAGAAGCATATCATTTATCATTTCTATGCTTGTTTTAAGGAATAAAAATTGATCGATAAAAGAGGAAGGGAAGATGAAAGACCAGAAAAAAATAGAAGATAGAAGAAATAGAAAAAGCACCAAGATCATGACAATGTTTACTTCAAATCAGATCCTATTAATTTATGTAGGAGTGAAGAGCAGAACATGAGATGGCCCACCAACCCCCTCTTAGTTCATTAGGACTCACGTAACATTTTCCTTGTAAAACTAAATAACTAAAACATTATTTTCCAAACTCAACTTGCATCACTAAAATATAAAAATTCAAGATCAGCGTGAAGAAAATAAGTACTACTGTCTTCAGTTGCAAGTAAACAAACAAACATCAAGATAAAATTACGTTTATGCTTCTAATTTTCCATCATGGAGTATTTTCTCCCCAAGAGACAACCTTCAACAAAGAAACAAAAGGTCTCTCGTTTAACTGGCATCACAGCACTGACTAAAGCTCAACAGGTAAAAGAATTAATAAGCGTCCTTCAAATCTTCAGCCAAGAGACATCTTTAGGCATCATAAGAAACTAGTTAAAATATTTCCAAAACCCATTAGTGGCTTTTGCTATGGATCTGAGAAACACATTCATTTTTCAAACTTACCTCTGTTCAATACCGAGATGTGCATTGATGCTAGCATATCGGGCGGTGCCAGTGAGATTTTTATCTTCTCTGTATGGTATGTGTTGCCTTGTCCTGTTGTCTCTGTACTTTTTGGCCAAACCAAAATCAATAAGGAATAACTTTAAAAGAAAATAAAGGGATATTAGGTTTCCAACCTTGTTCAGTTGAACTGCTGCTTACTCATTCAACAGCATCTATTCTATCTTGTTCAACTATATCAAAATAAAGTATCGTAAGCGAAACAGATAATGAACAAACTTAACATTCCAGTAAGTTTTTACTAGTTCTCATCAATAAATCAAGTTAAAGCAAATACAGTTAAATGGTTGATCCTTGTCAGCTGAACCAACTTCACAGGCCCAGTTTATTACACACTCGGGAGCCTGTCTTTAGAAAAGTAGTGAAGAAATATATACATGCTTCATAGCAGAGTTGAAAAGCGTGCTGTGTGCCATAATGAAACCTGACATCCTGTTACTGTTGGTAAACAAGCATGAGGTTTCAAAAACTGAACGTAAGCTATCTGGAATTCTTCCATTTTGCAAAGGCTATTCTTCCTTCAGTATAGCAACAGAATGTTCATTATCTAAAATAAGACAACTTGGAAAAGTTTGATATTGACAACAAAACCAAGATTTTTATTAACAAAAAAAATAAGCATTTTTAAAACAAGCATGCATTACATTCTACTGCTTCCCACTGATATTTATCCATTCATCAGGTTAAACTTCTGGGAAATATAAATATGGATCTAAAATCTTAAAAAAAAGCACTTAGTATCTATTTACACCAAGATAACTTACAATTAGCAGTTTAAAGGAGCTAACTAAAAACAAGACTAGTATTTTAGAACAAAATAATGTTTAGTGCTATCATGTTTATATGGGACACATGGGAGTAAGATATGTTTCTAATGTAGCTAATTTTTGAAGGAAAAAAAAAACCCTACTTTTGACAAAAAAGAAAAAAAAATCCAGTATTTATTTACGTACCTTCTAAAGCAAAATAAATAATCTTTATTTCAAATTTTAGTCTTTATCATAAATTCTCTTATTAAAGTTATGTCTACAAAGATTATCCAACAGGCAGGTCTAGGTGCCCTTTTAGTACCTAGCCCTAGACCTTTTTTTCCCTAGTTGTGCCTACGTTTTCTAGTTTTTCTTTCCATTAGGCAGACTTTGGGTCCCTTCTGTCCAGTTTATAATCTATGATATCCTAAGAAACCCATCACCTAGCCTCTTAGGGTGTGTGTAAGAATAAAGTAATTGAGGGGGGCCTGCGTGGCTCAGTTGGTTAAACATCTCACTTCAGCTCAGGTCATGATCTCATGGTTTGTGAGTTGGAGCCCCACGTTGGGCTCTGGGTTGACAGCTCAGAGCCTGGAGCCTGCTTCAGATTAGATTCTGTCTCCCTCTCTCTGCCCCTCTCCCACTCATGCTCTGTCTCTCTCTCTCTCAAAAATAAATAAACATTAAAAAAAATTAAAAACAAACAAAAAATAAAGTGATTGATTTGGGTGAAAAAAAAATCTGATCAAGTGCCTCTCTTAGGAGGGTAAAAAACACTTCTATGGAAGGGCACCTGGCTGGCTCAGTCGGTGGAGCATGCAACTCGTAACCTTGGGGTTTTAAGTTCGAGTCCCACGTTGGGGGTAGATATTACTTTAAGAAAAATCTT